CGAAGACAATCTTCCGGCTGACGTTTCCAGCACTGAGGGCGATTACCACAGTGAGATCTGGGTCTCACATTCTTGTTTTCTTTGCGCGGTGCTTCTCAGCTTGCGTGCTTGTACTACTAGTTGCAACAGTTGTAGGATTGCATGGCCGCGGTGCTTCTCAGCCTGTGACTCTGTGCAGTGCTTCTCTGATTGTGCGTTTTGCCGGCTCTCCGCTAGAACAGTTGCTTGGAGGCGCGAAGCGCCGTCCGGGGCGGAAAAAACTGGCCGGCTAGAGAAAGCAAGGGGAGACAGCGGCGACGACGAAGGCAGCGGCGACGAGAACGGGGAGGACGATGACAACGACGGCGATGATGACGATGACAACAGGGTTGATAGCAGAGTCCCGTTTTCATGCAACTCCCACTATTGATAGCAGTGTCTCGTTTTGAAACACTTCCAGTATTGATAGCAGAGTCTCGCTTTTACACACCTCCCACTCGTGATGGCAGTGTCTCGTTTTAACACAGTTTCAGTACTCATAGCAGAGTCTCGTTTTTAGACAACTTCCACGATTGGTAGCAGTGTCTCGTTTTAACACAGTTCGAGTATTGATAGCAGAGTCTCGTTTTAACACAGTTTTCACTATTGATAGCAGTGTCTCGTTTTGACACACTTCCACTATTGATAGCAAAGTCTTGTTTCTACACCTCTCACTATTGATAGCAGTGATACCAGTGTCTCGTTTTTTCAATACAGCTCAGTATTGATAGCAGAGTCTCGTTTTCATACAAATCCCACTATTGATAGCAGTGTGTCGTTTCGACACACTTCCAGTATTGATCGCAAAGTCTCGTTTTTACACCCCCCCCACTATTGATGGCAGTGTCTCGTTTGGACTTCATCGATTGGTCGCAGCGTCTTGTTTGGGAGGAACAAACAAAAAATGTGCTGTTTCGTCGATAGCAGTGCCTGCTTTGCTGACTCATCCACTATTGATAGCAGCGTCTCGTTCCCAGACACATCTGTAGTAGCAAACAGTATTAAATCCATTGATAGCAGTGTCTCGTTTGGACCTACATCCCTGCATAGCAGCGTCTCGTTTGGAATGAACACAACAAGAATGTGCTGATCCGTTGATCGTAGAGCCTTTTTTTGCAGACTCGCCCACTATTGATAGCAGCGTCTCGTTTCCAAATATGCTTCCAGATATGCTTCTACACATAGCTGTTAGGTTGCTGTGCTGGGATAGTTGGGGCGTGTTTCTAATATACTAGATCGCCACGTTGCGCTGATGAGAACTCAGCTGGCCAGTTGGCGGTACATCATCCTCGCAGCCGGCTGGCCCCCCGCACGGTGGTCCGGCGGACAGGGGCGACTGCTTAGGGAGTGCGCCTGCGGTCCCATTGAGGGGGAGGCCAGAGAAGGCAAGGCACGGCTGGAGCTGTCTGGGGGTCTGAGGTGACTCAGCACTGGTTCCGGCCACTAAGCAGGGCGGGCAGGGTCGGAATTCTGGGCTCCTTTTTCTTTGTGGTATGTATGTATGTATGTATGTATGTATGTATGTATGTATGTATGTATATATATATGTATGTATGTATGTATATATATATATATATATATACATGTATATATATATATATACATATATATAGATGATACCAAAGAAAAGCCCAATCATAATCTTTTTAGGGCTGTAAGGCTATAGGGCTACAGGGCTATATGGGCTCTTGGGCTCTATATGGGCTATATGGCTATATGGCTATATGGTTATAGGGCTATAAGGCTATAAGGCTATAGCGCGATAGGGATATAGGGCTGTAAGGCTATAGGGCTACAAGGCACCCGGGCACCCGGCACCCGGCACCCGGGCACCCACCCGGGCACCGGGCACCCGTCACCCGGGCACCCGGGCACCCGGGCATCCAGGCACCCGGGCCCGGCCACCGAGTCGGCGGCGAATCCGGGCACCCAGGCACCCGGGCACCCAGGCACCCGGGCACCGGGGCACCCGGGCACCAGGGCACCCGGGTCCGGCCACCGAATCGGCGGCACACCTCACCTACCCTTAAATCCGCTAGGACCCCTACAGAGGCAAGCCTTGATTGGGGAGAATTGCTATATATATATATATATATATATATATTATATATATATATATATATGTGTGTGTGTGTGTGTGTGTGTGTGTGTGTGTGTGTGTGTGTGTGTGTGTGTGTGTGTGTGTATATATATATATATGTGTGTGTGTGTGTGTGTGTATGTGTGTGTGTGTGTAAGAAGGCCCCCAGGGGCCGTTTGCGGGCCCCGAAACAGGGAGGGGTCCGCGGACCGATCTGGAGCGGGTTTGGCCTCCTTCCTGACCGATTGTCCGGGCCCCCCGGCCGCCTCCCAGGGGCAAGGTGCTCATCTGACGTTGCGCCACCCCCTGCTGGCCCAACGGGGCCCCTGGCATAAAAATCGGCGGCGAGCGGGGGATGGACGCGAGAAGGAGGAGACCCTCTCAGGAGGCGGCGGGGCTTCTCAGTAGCCCCCTCTGTCCTTCTAGGAAGTTGTCTTTGTCTTCGGGGAAGGCTGGGAGAACTTCTCATGAGGCCAGAGGCCTTCTGAGCCTTGTGAGAAGGTCCGCCCCTTCTCCCTCCCCCCTGGGCGCGCCGCCGACAAGAGCCCACAAGAATGCCCCAATTTTGGTCGCGGGTGGCCCCCGAGCCTCCCGCAGAGGAATACTGAGAGGCCAAGCGAGCTCTTTCTGTTTTCAGTGGCCAACGGCGTTCCCTCGCCGTCTCGTGCTCTGGTGGGCCTCCGAGGGTTTGAAGATGGCCCGACGGGACCTCAACTCAGCCACGCGCGGAGAGGGTTTCGGGGAAGGGGGAGCGCTTCTTAGAAGCACCCCTGCTTCTCAGAAGGCGCGGGCCTTATTTATAGATGTAAGTAAGGCCCGCGCCTTCGAAGAAGCCTCCTCCTGGGATGCCTTCTCCTTTTCCCTCCACCTCCTTGTACGCGCTGCTGGTCAGGGACACTGACGACGTCGTCGTCGACGGCGACGACCGCGACGACTGTTTGTATCATGTCAGCTCGCGATGAGGTTGCGAAGGCCCGCCCCTTACTGCGAGGAGAGAGGAGAGAGAGGCCCCAGAGGGCCTCACGAGGCCACGCCAAGACCTCAAAGCCGAGACCTGCCCCTCTTGGGATTTTCGTCGGCGCTCCAGAGTCTCACCAGGACTGCCCCAAAGGCTCAGAGGCCCCGAGAGGCCCATGAGGTCCACAGCAAGGCCCCAAGAGCACTCCAAAACAGTGTCAATCGGTTCAGGATGCCTGCCGAAGCCTCAAATCCGAGGCTCCGCTCGACGAGGGTTGTCACCCGTGGCTCGTCGTGATCTCCGCGGTCTCCCAGGGGCGACCGCGACGCCATCTTGTCGGCCACCTCCTGTCCAAGAGCTCCAGCCGAAGCGGGCCACGGGAGAGCTCCAAGGCGCGGAAAGGGCCAGCAGGACCACCAGCACCTGACGCCACGCCGGCCACCAGGACGGCCGCAGGAGGGCCCCTAAGGGCTCCACGAAGCCCCCAGGACAGAGCCGCGAGCTCAAGCGGGCCCACTCCGAGCCCAGACCAGGGCCTCGGCGCACCCCTCGAGCAGCTTCAGAGAGTGCCCAGCTGTTCCGCGCCCGACCCTGCAGGGTCCGGGGCTCCGCCCCGCAAGGGCTTCCCTCGGTGCTTCAGCCTCCCTCCTCGCTGGGCCAGGGGCGGGCCACACCCAGCCCACGGGCGCGAGGGGAGGGGTGCTGCGACGAGGGGAGAGGCACGAGGGCGAGAGTACTCCGGGGGAGAGTACTCGAGGGGACACGGGAGCTATCGGGCACGATGGGGAGAGGTGTTCGCGTGTGGCCCTAGCTCAAGATATTTGTAAGTTCTCGCGCCCCAAATCCGCCTGTGGGGGATATGCGACAGCCTCGGTGGCTCGAAAATACCGTTGCATGATCATGATGATGATGATGAGGAGGAGGAGGAGGAAGTGGAGGAGGAGGGAGGAGGAGGGAGGAGGACGGAGGGGGGAGGAGGAGGACGAGGAGGAGGGGGAGGAGGAGGAGGAGGAGGAGGAGGAGGAGGAGGAGGAGAAGGAGGAGGACGAGGAGGAGGAGGAGGAGGACGAGGATGACGTGGGACGACGTCCACGGGCACGATGGGGAGAGGTGCCGCGACGAGGAGGGCACTCCGGCGAGAGTGCTCGAGCGGCCCTGGCAGTCGGCTGCGAGCCAGCAGGGAGCCCCCCTTCCGTCCGTGCCGGGCGAGGGCACCGGCGCGCCCGTCCCTCCCAAACGGCCCGGGACTCCCCCAAGACGGCCGAAGACGACCAAGCAGGACAAGGCGGGACCAGACAGGACGAGACGAGACAAGATCAGGCAAGACGAGACCAGGCGGGAGATGACATGCCAAGACTGCCCCCAGATCCCAAGACCACCACCTCACAGACCCCCCAAGGGCCAGAGCCTTTCAAAGTCTTGGGGGCAAATCTAAAGTCGGGCTTGTCCCTCTACAGGAGGAATATTAAAAAATAGTTAAAACATCTACGGACTATTTTAAACATATTTTTTGACCATTACATTGCATTTTTGAAAAATTTATATTTTTCGTCGAAAGTCCCCCTGTATGGGGGACACGCCCGACTTGAGTCTTGGGGCAAGTCGATGATTTGTGCGCCTGATCGTTTTTTCGCATCCGATGGGCTCCCGAGGCTTCACGCTGATCTCCAGGGGGTGCCAAGAGAGCCCCAAGGCGGGCTCAGTAGAGGCCCAGAGCAGCACCAGAGGCCTCAGGGGGGCCCCAAGTTTTTTTTGTGTTTTTAGTATTTTTTTGAAAGACAAAGCAGCGAACAAGGGAAAGCGTGCTTGACGCCAAGATGGCCCCCAAAGGCTCCCAGAGGCCCCAGGAGGCCCCCAAAAGGCCTCCAAGCGCTTCCAGAGGACCCCAAGATGTCCCCAGACGACCCCCGGATGCTCCCGGGAGGCTTCGCTAGGCGGGGGTGGAGGGGAAGACATCTGGCGTGGAGTTGAGGGAGGGTGAGCCCCTCCACGAAATGGAATCCGGAGATGCTTTGGAAGAGTTGGCCCTCGAAAGTATTTGCGCACGGAGGGCAGTTGGGACCCTGAGCTTTTGAGCGAGGCATATCAACAACCAGACGATGCCACAACCACTCCCACCAACAGAACTACGGTACCGACAACCGTTCGATCAAGGCGGCGGCACCACCAGCAGCAACAGGAGGAACGAAAACAACAACAGCAACACCACCAACCAACCGCAGCAGGGCTGATGACGCGAGCGGCCTGGCGGTGACAACGACAAAGGCAGCGCCACCGCTTGCGACAGCGAAGGCCGCAGCAAACCGACCCTCGCAACGACGGCCGACCCACCACGACTCGAGGCTCCCTGGCCTGGCCGGTCTCCTCGGGGCATGGGGCACGACGCGCCCGACCCGCGGGCGCCGTGCGCAGGAGGGCGCCATGATGCTGATGAAGGCGCTGTCGTCCTTCTCCAGCAGCTCCGAGGCTCGAAGGAGAAGAAGAAGAAGCAGAAGAAGAAGGAGAAGAAAAATAATAAGGATGATGATAATAATAATAATAACAATAATAATACTAAAAATACTAATACTAATAATAATAATAATCATAATAATAACAACAATAATACTACTAATATAATAATAATAATCATAGTAGTAATAATAATAAAAATAATAATAATAATAATAAGAGTATTATTAAGAAGAAGAAAAGAACCATAAGAAGAAAAATCAGAAGAAGAAGAAGAAGAATAATAATAATAAGAAAAATAATAATAATAATAAGAAGAAGAAAAAGAAGAAGAAGAAGAAGAAGAAGAAGAAGAAACAGCGGCATAGACATAAACTTTTTGCCGCTCCGCGCCTGGCGCGCTCCGCGCGCCACGGAGGGGGGCCCGGCGCGGATCCCAGAAGTCCGCGCGGCGCGCCAGAAGTTTCTGTTCGCGCCGCTCTCTCTTCTGCTGGAGGTCTCGTCGGAGGGCGCGGCCTCTGTCGAGGTCCGCCAGGCGCTGGTGGTGGATGCCAACGGCCGCCGCATGGTGCGCAAGTCCATCCTGATCGACGGCACGACGTACTCGTCCGAGGAGCGGGCCCTCCCGGGCTGAGCCGGGGCGGGAGCGCGCCCGTCTGAGGGCGGCCTCAGCGATCGAAGCTCTGCCCATGCAGGAGGTTCGATCCGCGTCGGCGCGGCGGCGACGCCAGCGCGGGCGTTCAAGATTGAACTGCGTCGGTGGCCCGGAGTCGGCGGACACCGAGGGATCTGCGCCACCGGACAACCGCGATCGTTCGAGGTTGTCACCGGAAGGTCGGCTAGGCGTAAGAGTGACCTTTCGCCGGAGTGACCTATGGTGCGGGCCCACATGGGTCCCCCAATCGCCGAACGCGTTGCGCCATAAGCGGATTGCGCGCTTGGGTTTGGCTCCCCCGCGCCCCCCTAATGCCGCGCACCAAAGGTCATTCTTACCCAGGGTCACTCTTGCGTATAGCCGAGGCAGCCAATGCGCAAGTTGTCACGGCACGAGCTTGCCGTACCCCTGCGGATACCTCCAGCCGTGGGCGCCAGTAGAGTGGGGCATGTGGATAAAAGGCCGGTCTTCAGACGCAGTCCTCTTGTCCACGCCCCCGCTGGCAGCTCGTGGGGTGGGGCCACGCCAGCTATTCACAAGCGGTCTGCCAGCAGCTGCCTCACAGAAGTTCCTTATGTCCCCATGTCCTTGGGGGCCCGCAGAAGCCCCGCGGCACCTCAGGAAGCTCAGAGCTCGACGACAAGCGTGCCCCCAGATCTCTCAGCGCAAGCGTTCTTATCCGATGTGTCGATCGATCGCCGATCGCGCATGGGCAGGGCGTCGATCGCCCACGGGTGCCCGCGCGCCTGGCCGGCCGATGCATCTGCAGATGCTCACCTGCGGCAGGCTACAGCCGGGGCCCTGAAGAAGGAACCCCTTTCGTTGGGGAGGGGCTCCGCGTTCCTTAAGTGTTTCGCAGCTTGCCTCAGGTTGTCCTTGTGATTTCGATGGGAGCTCGAAGTTTAACTGATGGAAAAAAGGATCCTCGTTCCTTATTTAGGGTTCCTGAGGTCAAGGCCCCGACTGTACGCCTGATGCACGTCTGCCGTCGGCTCCGCTTATTAGACGTGGATCGGCGACGCGCCCTGGGGGGAAGGCAGAGTGTTCGGGCCTGCTCCCACCGAGCGCGTTCCGCTACTCGTAGAGTGCCTACTCGCAAACGCTCGGAAAACACGTGCCAGTTTGGATGTGATTTATCGTAGATCCCCCGCGGCGGATCCAGGCCATTCGCGAGCAGGTCCTTTGCGAGTCGCGGAACGCGCTCGTCGGTTCTCAGAAGGCTCGGAAGGCCACCACCGGCCTTCTGAGAGACTGTCTGAGCCTTCTCCGAAGCCTCGTGGCCTTCTGAGAGTGCCCGCCCCCTTCTCGCTTCCCAGCAGGAGGAGGAGGAGAACGAGG